TGAGATATTCAACATGGTCACTACACGACAGAATACTTTTAAACTTCATCTCCGTGGGTACACTCAAATATGTTCCCTTGTAAGTAGTACATACATTTACTTAATCAAATCCGCCGATTTCTTCATTAGGGCTTTCGCGTTTTCGTTTTTCATTTGAGTTGCTATTGCTTAACGCTATTTTTCGGATTTCTTCTTCGTTTTGCCTTATCTCCTTCACCGTAGAAAAGCTGACGTTGAAACCTTTAACAACATGGTCTGCCTTTTTGAATTTCAGTGCTTCCAACATTCTCAATTTTTGTTCAATCGATAATGTGCAACGTTTACCACTGGTAGACGCCATTCTGTGAAGAGTAAAGATTCAACGAAAAATGAGGCTAATATATAGAACCAAGAAAGAAGGAAAACTCTATGGAATGAAAAATCCCATAGATGATGAACATGACAGAAAAATCCAACATAAAACAACATGAAAGAAAGAAGAAAGGAAAAGTCCATTACATATATACGGCAGAAAAAAAAAGAATAACGAAGGAAAGGAAAAATTCATCACATATATGACAGGAAAGAAAAAGAAGAAAAACATAAATGCATATATATAATTATATAGATAAAAAAAGCTCTTTTATGCGGACTAAAATCGAACAAAAAGCGCCAAAAAACAGCTCTTAAGAGCGGACCGCTCCTTTATCCGGAGCTCTTATAAGTGGAGTCGACTGTATCTATGTATACTTGAGGGTGTGGGTGCGGATGTGAGTTTGTATGAAGACAAGACATCCTCAAGATGCTCCTCGATAAACCTTGCTACATTCCAACTGATCCCAAGTGCCCTTTGCATCCCATTGAGATGTAACCTGTATTCCCATGGTGGGTACAGTATTTAGCAGACGGATTAACGTGCAATCACCCACTTTATTTGAATGATCGGCATGATAATCATAGAAGGTTAATTTGTAAGCCATGAAAAAAGGATTTAGTAAATCAACAATCTCAGGTGTAGCCCAACAGTAGATACACTCAAATGTTCCTTGCGGTGCATGACGAGTATTCCAAGCTGGATAAAATCGTTTCATTAGTTCTGCGGATAAAAACGTTTTGAGTAGTTCAGGAATATCAATGAACGTATAGTGCGAAGCCATTCCATTTCGATTCCAGAGAAGCCAATAAGAGTACATATGTTCATTGGAGAAGTGAGGAACAGAATGTGCCCAACGTAATAAATCAGTAGAATTGTAGAGCACATGATTCATAAATTTATCAAAAATACTTCTTTCAAGAAACCAACCATGATATTGTCCAACAAAAGTATCTCTAGATGGTAGAACTGAATCAGGTATTCGCACAGCTGTTCGACTACCGTCTGTCATCCATCTATGTATAGTTGCATTTTCATAAAACATGTAAGGAGAAATGAAAAAATCAAGAAATACTTCAGTAAAGTTAGTCTTTCTACGAATAACTACTTCACAATCTAGAATCAATGCATATTGCCATTGTTTTGAAACATATAATGCAGCCAACTTTTTGAGTGACAAATAAGGTAATTTATGAGAAAACACACCCCAGTCTTGATAGAGTTTAATTCCAAAGCTTTGTAAAAGCCTTGGGAAAGACCAGAAATGTATATTGATTTTTTCGAACAGAACATTATCTTGTTGTAGACGAGCCATAAAATCTCGAGCCTCTTGATCATCTGATAAAATAACTTGAATATCAATGCGTTCCAAATCAACAACATTCGCGATGAATGTTTGAAAGAAACGGGAGGCGTCACCAAAATGACCTCGATGAATAGGAATAACTAGATAGGGTCTGAAATCTGTTATTACTTGTTTACAGCTTACATTTGAACGAATAGCAGGTGAACCGGTGCATTTTCGTCGTCGAAACGTTTGCACAGATAATTCGAAATCCTTTGTATTTGTAGCTGTTGAAATAATAGAGTTTAAAACTAATGTTCTGTAATCAATTTTACCAAACCATATAAAAATCAAGACGAAAACGAACGGAATCACTACCATAATTAACTTGCATGCAGTAGAACAGCTCGAGACACTCATTTGTCAGTTTTAATATTAATAGTTGTTTTTAGTCGATAAAGTGTGTATCTGTCCAAAGCAGCGTGCTCCCTGTAACGTATTTGAGGTTTATATAGATATTAAAGAAATGATGAAGTGGTCATAGAAATCTTGAGGGTGTGGGTATAAGTGTGAGTCCACACCTACACTCTCACACCACATTCATATCCTCAACATTATCTAATGATCAGATCGATAGCTTTTTGAAAAATAACGGAGCATTACACCTATAACTTTGTAAAGCTATCGGAGCGTTATTTGTAGTTCTGTGAATGCTCCCTGAACAAACTATCTTCAGGCAGTACTTATCATATTTCAAGGGCTATCTGAAGATCATGTCTATAAGCCTTTACAGTTGCATATAGACTTCATTTATATATCTCCGTCAGCACATGGCGAATATTCTTTTCGCGTAAATTTAGTACATTCTTGTGTTTTAATCTTAACTACATCGGATCATGTAAGAGAACTGTCTCAAATACTATGCAACTTTTTGCATACTTTCATCTATATTTTATCCTTGCAAAGAAATTGACTATAGCTGATAGAGTTAGTGTAGTAAAGTCCTATTACATTTTCTAAATAGCTACTCAGGTCAACCAATCCAATATTGGCTCCGATCATCCGATAGAATCCAATAGGATACCTGGTGACGGATTTGCATTGGATTCCGACGGAACATTTTCAGTCACTTGCTGCAAATGTGATGAACGATGGTTTTAGCTATGTTCTATGATGGCCTTATGATCATCTGTTGGATCCGTCTAGATCCTTTTGTTGAAAATTGTGAGATCCGATGGGATCCGAACTCGACGGAATCTGGAGTGATTCCGTCACCAGGAATCCTATAGGATTTTGTCGGATCATCGGATTCCGATAAAATCCGATCGGATCCCAGTGTGGGATTGGTGGACCTTGGTAGTTCTTTATTTTGCTAAATAAATAGCATGTCGTAGAAACTTTAAAGAATAAGTCCTTAGTTGATAATAGACATAATCAAGATTTAATGAGTGAGAAAAATGAAAGACTACTTTGAATATAGTATAGTGGCTAAGAGCGTCTACATGCCACGCGATTATTCACTGATTCAACTGGTCGAGTATTTCACTTTTCACGTATTTAAAAAAGTATTTAAATATTCATCTGTTCAATCTTTCAACTACTGTCTCACTCAACAAAGGCTTTGGTCGTCGAAGTATTCGATTATCTAATTTTTCGATTTTTCTATTGATCACATCTGCAAAGTTTTAGTGTGATTATTAGAATTTGAAACTAGTATCATAGTCTATAAAGGCTCAGTTGTGGTTATTTATTATAAGTATGAAATTATTCCTTTCGCCGTTACAATAAGAAATATAGTCAATTGATTATTGTCTTTACACTCTTTCTTGAGCTAAATCTTAAACTCCGTAAGGTACTTAATGCAGTGAAGTAGATTATTGCCTTTATATTAACGTTGAGATATATACAGATGAGACTATTTGGCTCACCCGTACTATCACGACTAATTGAAAACTCTACTAAATCGATAAGTACTCAGTTTCATCTTCGAACTTAACAATTATCCAGTGAAAGACAAAACGTAACAGCACAAATACTACTTACTACTGAGTTTTGAAATAATTTCCTTCTCTACGTAAGAGACTGAAGTAAAAAGAAATACTTTTTTTTCAGGAAAGAGAGTATAGAAATGAGAACAGAAATAATGATGAACAGGTTTTTTCTGGGAAAGTGTCTGAGGATGGGAATAAATAAATTTTTTTTCTAGAAGGAGAGTGCAGAACTGGCTACAAAAAAAAATTGTTTCAACAAATACAATATAATTAAAGAAATGGACAACTTTCTCGTCGGAGAAAGACTAAAGCGAGGTGAATAAATAAGTTTTGTTTCTAGAAGGAGAGTGCAGAAATGACTACAAAAAAAATTGCTCCAACAAGCAAAATATAATTAAGAGGTTGGACAATTTTCTCGTCGGCGGAAGACTTTAAGGATGTGAATAAATAAGTTTTTTTCTGGAAGGAGAGTGCAGAACTGGCTACAAAAAAAGAATTGTTCCAACAAGCAAAATATAATTAAGAGGATGGACAAGTTTTTTCCGGGAAAAAAGTGTGACAACAGAAACAAAAAGCAGTTTTCTTAGGCGGTGTGAGTTTACGAGTGGTTTTAGGGGTGGATATCTCGTGCTGATACCCACCTCACATGCACACTCGCAGCCACCCTTTTAATAACAATATCACAATGTGTATGATGTTAACAGTCTAGTCAATTTAAAAAATGAGTCGTATTTCCTATCACACTTCGTTAGTATGTCTATTTTATATCGCTGAAAATTCGACAAAGATCTTGCCAGGATTTCTTGTGTTTGTGATTGCAGGAAATGAGCAAAACATGCAGACATTTTCAGCGAACGCAACTTGCTCTTCTTCCTATTTTCTACCTCCTAAAGAAACTGCTTTTTGTTTGTGTTGTTACACTTTTTTCCCGGAAAAAACTTGTCCATCATCTTAATTATATTTTATTTGTAGCAACAACTTTTTTGTAGTCATTCTTCCGTTCTCCTTCGAGAAAAAAACCTGACTTATTCGCATCCTTAGAGTCTTTCCCGACGACACTGTTGGCCATCATCTTAATTATATTCTCTTTTTGTGATAATTTTTTTCTAGTCATTTCCACATTCTCCTTCCACAAAAAAA